AGCAGCAAGGCGTCCACACAGGACTTCTGCAGGGCTCGTGGGGGAGATGCTTTGATTTATTTATGGCTGTGACTTTGGCTGGCACTGGGGCTGACATTTCCAGTGTAAACTCCTGTGAAATATGCAAGGTTAGATTTTGACTTGGCTTGGTGGAGCATGTTTTGGTGGCGATGGAGACTAGTTTGATTTGGTATACTAATATGAGACTTTGTGGGAATTCAAGTAGAAATGTGCACCTGGAAATGCTGAACCAGAGGTCTGGTGAGTGGGTGTTGGAGTAATTTGAATGTTATACATATAAAGGTTTGAGTCCTAAGCTTCCATAAGACAGCTGAGGAAGGAAGTATAGGGAGGGGAGAAGGCTGAGGACAACTCAAGAGATAAATATAAAGAAGAGAAAGAGAAGCCATGTAGGCAGCATCAGCATGTAACCAGTTTACTAAACAACATACTAAATGCTGTTTAAAGAAATCAAAATGAATCAAAAGAAATCAAAAGAATCAATGAATCAAAAATGTTTTAAAATGACTCTATAGAATTTTGAGTATAGTTTGAATGACATATTAAATGACTCTTGCTGTATTCTTAACCCAATCCCTTTCCTCGTAGGTAGAAGAAGAAATCCAGACTCTGTCTCAAGTGTTAGCTGCAAAGGAGAAGCATTTAGCAGAGATCAAGCGGAAACTTGGGATCAATTCACTACAGGAACTAAAACAGAACATCGCCAAAGGGTGGCAAGATGTGACAGCAACATCTGCGTATGTCCCTTCTATCATACATTTTTCTAGAGAACATAAAGGCTTCTGTTGCTCCTGTTGTTTGGGGAGATGATGGAAAGGGGATGAGGATGCTTGCACAGTTTTCCTTAGTACACACAAGCACTTCCCTCAGTCCTCAGGGTACCTAACTCTTCTCTAACTTTGGTCTTCCAGACTGTTCTAGGGAGCAGAAAGAAAACTGGCCCCTTATGTGATTTGAAGAAAAAAAATTTAAGTTCCAAAAATGTTGTATATGCACTCACCAGATGCATACATGGGTCGCTTAGTCCTCAAAATAACTTAGTAGGTGGGTGCTAAGAAGGAAATTGAATCAGGTAAGTTTTGAGGCCCTAAGCCTCTCAAAGAAAAGATTTGAACTCTAGTCTGGCCAAGCACAGAGCCAGTCTTTTTTTACCTGGCTCTATACATAGCGTAAGACTCTAGGGACCTATATTGTCCCTGATAGGTGCTGGTGGGAGAGGCCTGCTCCTTAATCTTTTTGTCTTTTGATCACACAAGTTTTGATAGGCATAATCATAATGCAATTTTGTTTCCCCACACAAGGAGGAGAAGGCTTCTAGTAACAAGAGTCTAAACTGTGTTCTCTGTCATCTGTATTCAGTCCCATCTTCTGAGCTGGGACAGCAGCAGTGAGGCCAGGGCTTCCTGACTTAATAGCACTGGGGTGCCCACATGATTTTGGTCCTCTTCCTTACCCTTATAAGTAGGCAGTGGAAAAACATTCTTTGACCATATCACCGTAAACTCTGTGTTTTTGGTATGTGATCTTGATGGGTAAGTAAAAATGCCTGAGCATTCCTTTCTAGGATGTGGGGATCTTAACCTTTTTGGTGTAGTTACCATAATCTTCTGTTTTGTTTGCTATGCCTGGGTAGATGGGAAAAGAGAGGTGGTAAATCATACCTTTGGGTTACAGCAGATACCACACTCAAGTCACTTTAAATATTGTGCTTTTTATGTGGACTCTGTTGAGAGTCCACATGCAAAATTAAGAAAAAATTCTTTATGCTCATACAATTTATTTGAATAATGAAGTACAACATGGGCCTTACCTTGCTTCTGGTCCCTTTTTAGGAGATAAAGTTAAAAGGGCATGTATGAAATTTGGTTTTATTGTTTGGTTGGCTCAAGTAGAAAAGGAAAGAATAAGAGGTATAATTCATTTCAGCCTTTGGCTCATTTTCATCTTTGCTCCATGACTATTTTCAGCCCTTACCCTGATTTCTTGGGCCCTTCCTTTGTGGGCCTCTGTCTCTCTGGCTGTCCTGGGGCCACTACAGAAGCTTGTGCCTGAAACGGTGGTTAAGGATAAGATGATGTGACAGTGCTGACTTCGGGTTGTGAAGTATTTTAGATGTTCTAAAAATAACTTTTTTGAGAGCTGTCCAAGATGTGATGATCACTGCCTTAATTGGTAATAGAAAAGATCAATTTACTTTGCTCTGTTCTTTTATGATTTACTATAGATACAAAAAGACATCAGAAACCTTAACTCAGGCTGGACAGAAGGCTTCAGCTGCTTTCTCATCTGTTGGATCAGTCATCACCAAAAAGCTGGAAGACGTAAAGTACGTCCTCATTTTTCCTTGCTCATTAAGTATCTGTGGCAAATTACAATAAGTTATGGTTGCATTTGTTTCCTGCCTTTGGCTTTGGGTGTTGCTGCATTTCCCTCTGTTCAAGTTAGGGGAGGGCACTCCTTCAAACCAGGGCCTGAAATGTTGCCTCAATTCTTTTAGGCCTTGCCTACTAACTTTAAGGCATAACATTCAAAATGATCATCTTATGAATACATTTAAGGTTGCTGAAAAATTCTGGTTGTGAACCTTTGTCCTTTTCAGCCATCCTGACCTATAGGGTAAGTATATCTGTCACGGTTGTAAGCTTGTGGCTGTGGGCTGAGCCTGGTATCCTGCTGGGATGAGTCCAGGAATTCCGAAGTGCACGCTTGGACTGACACCTGCCTTCATGTCTGTGTGGTACATCTTTATTCCATGGTGTGACTACAACATGCTCGTTTGTGCACTGATTTGTCCTAATTTGTAAGCCATAGCTATGTTCACGCTTTGGCTCAAATCTTGGTTTTGAGTTGTTGTTTTTTATTTTGCATTTATATTTTAGATTAGTATGCATAATTTTCCTGGCCATTTTGACAAAAACCATTCATGGTGCTTTTTTGCTCTCCTCATGTGGATTAGAACAGTGCTGAAAATGACAAACGTGGTTTCAATTTCTTGTGCTTCTGTTGGCATGAAAGATTTGTGTTTTAAAAACAAAACTCTCAGATCACATGACTTTTTCACTTGTGGGTAAGTAGATTTACAACCAGAATTTTGTTGGTTGAATAAGTCTGGCATTCAATGTATTACACTTGGTACCAAAAACACCAAATGACTTGCTCATTATATTTGTACTAACATCATTCTAAGCATAATGTAATAAACATAGCTTTCTTGATCTCTTTTGACAATCATATATACACCTCTTAAGTGCTCTCATTTCTTTTTATGCTGACTCAATTGTGTAGCCCTTTATAGAGTCCAGTTAAAACCTTGTACAACTTTTAAAAAGTAGGTTATTTAATTGTTTTAGATTTACCAGAACTTCCTTTCTTTTTTAATGCTTACTCCGGCTTCTTACAGATTGCAAGCCTTTTCACATTCCTTTAGGTAAGGAGAGTTTAAAATGTCACTGCAGTTCAGCCGTTGTCTAAGACAAGTGTGCTTAAGTAGGCTATTATGCCACGTTGGATGGTCATGTTTGTCTACTACATCATTTTCTTGCATTTGGAATACCTTTTTCTCTAGTGCATTCCTGTGTTTAAGAGAGGATTCTTGTATACCATGGGTAATACAAAAATTAAAAGAAGAATTTGACACTGTGGGTCAAGGGATGTGGAAATGATTTTGACATTTCTTTTTTCCTTTTTTGGGGGGTAAAAAGAAGCAGCACCACCATGGCATGCAGAATTCCTCCCTTTTAATGTTTGACTTTGTTTGTTTTTGATGCTTTAATTTCCTTGGGGCTTTTGTAAGAATGTTGGAATTCTCCTTCACCGGGGTTCTATTATGCAGTTGTAATAGACAGCATCTGGACTGCCTCATTATGTCAGTCTTCTGTTTTAGACAGGTCAGTCTGAGTATTTTTTAGTTGTGGTAAAGTATACCTAAGATAAGATATACTGTTCCTCTGCACTTTTCAGTATTTGTTTTGCTACTTAGCAGTTTCCACTGTTTTATTATTTCTTTGCAGTAGTTAGATTCTTTAACTGTGCGTGCAGGGAAATTTCATAGTTGCAAAAGGAAAAATAAAGCATATTAGGCTACAAAAGAAAGCCCATTAAAAAGATGTGATCCTACATCATGCCTTACAGAAGGAGTCTTTCTGATGTGGAGCAAATCTCTCATCTCTTTCACATAGTTTATCCAGTTAGTAGTTGGAGAAAACTGAGATGGAGGAAGGGCCGTAGAGTGTGACCAGCAGGGATAATATAATAGCCTCCATCTCATTGCCTGTTGCCAGTTGTGTCCTAGGCATGAGCTAGCTATCTTCTTCAGAAAGCAAACAGACACGAGTAGCTGAGGTCCTCCTGTCCTAGTGACACTTGGCCCTGGAGGTCAGGAAATCATAGGGATAAAGCAGCTCTAAATGCAGGATTATTTAAAGGTAAAATTATGCTCTAAAAAAAAAATCAAGAAACCAGTGATTGAAGGTTATTCTGTGTCTTTGGTGTTCAATTAAAAATGGCCTAAGCCATCCTGCCTAAAGCAATCTACAGATTCAATGCAATCCCTATCAAAATATCTACAGCATTCTTCAATGAACTAGAGCAAATAGTTCTAAAATTGATATGGAATGACAAAAGACCCTGAATAGCCAAAGCAATCCTGAAAAGGAAGAATAAAGCAGGGGGAATTATGCTCCCTGACTTCAAGCTCTACTACAAAGCCACAGTAATCAAGAAAATTTGGTACTGACACAAGAACAGACCCATAGACCAGTGGAACAGAATAGAGAGTCCAGATATGAACTCAAGCATATATGGTCAATTAATATATGATAAAGGAGCCATGGATGTACAATGGGGAAATGACAGCCTCTTCAACAGCTGGTGTTAAGACCAAAACTGGACAGCTACATGTAAGAGAATGAAACTGGATTATTGTCTAACCCCATACACAAAAGTAAATGCAGAATGGATCAAAGACCTGAAAGTAAGTCATGAAACCATAAAACTCTTAGAAAAAAATTATGGGCAAAAATTTCTTGGACATAAACATGAGCAGCTTCTTCATGAACATATCTCCCCAGGTAAGGGAAACAAAAGCAAAAATGAACAAGTGGGACTATATCAAACTAAAAAGCTTTTGTACAGCAAAGGACACCATCAGTAGAACAAAAAGACATCCTACAGTATGGGAGAATATATTTGTAAATGACAGATCTGATAAGGGGTTGACATCCAAATTATATAAAGAGCTCACGCACCTCAACAAACAAAAAGCAAATAAGCCACTTTAAAAATGGGCAGAGGAGCTGAACAGACACTTCTCCAAAGAAGAAATTCAGGTGGCCAACAGGCACTTGAAAAGATGCTCCACATCGCTAATCGTCAGAGAAATGCAAATTAAAACCACAATGAGATATCAAATATCACCTCACACCAGTTAGGATGGCCAACATCCAAAAGACAAACAACAACAAATGTTGGCAAGGATGTGGAGAAAGGGGAACCCTCCTACACTGCTAGTAGGAATGTAAACTAGTTCAACCATTGTAGAAAACAGTATGGAGGTTTCTCAAAAAACTAAAAATAGAAACACCATTTGACTCAGCAATTCCACTCCTAGGAATTTATCTTAAGAATGCAGCAGCCCAATTTGAAAAAGACATACGCACTCTTATGTTTATTGCAGCACTATTTACAATAGCCAAGAAATGGAAGCAACCTATGTGCCCATCAGTAGATGAATGGATAAAGAAAAGTGGTACATATACACAATGGAATATTATTCAGCCATAAGAAGAAAACAAATCCTTCCATTTGCAACAACATGGATGGAGCTAGAGGGTATTATGCTCAGTGAAATAAGCCAGGTGGAGAAAGACAAGTGTCAAATGATTTCACTCTTCTGTGGATTATAACAACAAAGCAAAAACTGAAGGAACAAAGCAGCAGCAGACTCATAGAACCCAAGAATAGATTAACAGTTACCAAAGGGAAAGGGACTGGGGAGGATGGGTGGGAAGGGAGAGATAAGGGGGGAAATAGGGCATTACGATTAGCACACGTAATGGGGTGAGGGGGACATGGGAAAGGCAGTATATATAGAGAAGACAAGTAGTGATTCTATAGCATCTTACTACACTGATGGACAGTGACTGTAATGGGGTATGTGGGGTGGACTTGATAATGGGGGAGTCTAGTAACCATAATGTTCAAGTAATTGTACGTTAATGATATAAAAAAAAAACACTAGAGAAAAGTAAAAAAAAAAAAAAATATGGCCTAAGTGCTCTAGGGAGTTGTTAAGGAGAGCCTTATCTAAAGATTTCAGTTGTGTGAATATGTATTTGGTCTCATAATCTGTTCTAATGTTAGAATGTCTACCGTGGTCAGGTCCAAAGGACATAACCCACCAGATACGGTTCTTGTTTGGAAAGACCTTAAAATCCTTGAGTGGGTGAAGTTGGGGAAGGAAGTGGAGACTAGGAATGAGATAAGAGTAGAAGAACCTTATTAGTACCTGATTATAAAACTGTTTGATGTGATAGGAACAGAAACGTAAAATTGTTAAGTGCTGTAGAGGAATGAATGCTGGGTTTCATCAGGGCGTGTCACTGTTTTTTTTTGCTGTACCTTTAAAGAGATTAAGCAAGTGTCCATGTACATAAAATGGCTCAATACGAGCTGTCTTACTAATTCACCAGGAACAAATTGAATATTGCTGCTCTTTTCTAGTTTCTTACACAGTCACATTTTTCATCTCATTTAAAAAAATAATTGAGGTTATACTGTCTACCATTTTCAGTCCTGTTTTTAATAATGTATTGTGTATCCATATGTGGAGATTAAGTCTTTTAATTAAAGCTTAGAACTGAGATTATCTTTTGAAAGCTGAATTTTATAATTCTCACAGGTTAAAAGTTAGTAAATCATTAAAAAAAAAATCACTCCTAGCCCTAGAAGTCCTGATTGTGATCTGATTAAATGTGGTCATATATAATAAAAAATATATGAAAATAATAGAAAGACATAAAAACCTTTATAATGGAAAACATATAAAAAATACCCCTACATCTTCTAGATCAGTGAGTCACAGAAGCAAATACTAGCCATGTGCCACCAGAACTGTCCAAGGAGAGGGAACTTGGACAGTAGATTTTGAGTGTTTCAGTCCCTGCAGCAAAGCCTTGTCTCTCATGGAGATGGATACAGGAGGCCCTTTTTTGCCAAGTGCTTGAAATAGTTGGTTAATCTTATTAACTACCCTTTGTTCTGAGTCCATGCTTACCCAGCAGACCTGTGGCAGTGATTTCACTCTCTGATGGAACTGTGGATATTTTGTTGACTTGACTTGTTAGACTCAGCAACAGTTTTTATTCTACATTGTTTATTAATAAATTAGCATTTGGGATTTAGATATTTAGATATGCCTCGGGTGGATGTGTTAGGAGAAAGAAGAGGAAAAGAGGAAGAATTAGTATTTAAGAGGAAGTACTAATTAATTTTGCCTTTATTTCCAAAGGAAATTTCTCCTTTTTACATGTGTGTATCTTCATACAAACCTCTAGATATTTTTTACTTGTTTGGGTTCACTAACGTTATTCCAAACAATTCTGTTCTGCTGAAAATTTCCTTCACTTAATGGGAAAAGAAATGATCTCTTTTTTTTTTTGGTCAGAATGAGGGTACCTTTTGATTAGAATTTGAAAAGCTTTAATGCCCTTTTCAACTTTTTGTGCCCATGTTCCCTAATTTTAGTTGCCACAATTGCTTATTCATTCTTTCATTCAGAAGTATTTATTGAATGCTAACTGTGTGGCAGGCACTGTTCTAGACTGTAAGGTTGAAGTTACCAACTGAAATAATAGCTGGGTGAAATTTGAAAGCATCAAAGAATATAATCTAATATGGATTAAATGTTAATATGTTTTTCAGTTAAGTTTCCATCACAATGGTGCTGGTGAACAAATATGTTCCAGGCAGGATTGTATATAGTACCTGTGAAGTAGGTACTATTATTTTTTTGATTTTACAGATGAGGAAACTGGGCTACAGAGAGGTTAAGTGACTTCCTCAAGGTCACACAGCTGGGTGGCTGTAGGTCACGATTTGAACCTAGGCACGCAGTAGTTCCGGAGCCTGCACTCTCCTACTGTGCATTGTTCTGCCTTCCCAGAACAAGGATAGTTTAAGACGGTTCTCCTCCAAGCACTGTGCAGCAGTTACTTTGATTCATCATTTGCAATTGACCAATTAGTGTGAAGGCAAAATGGAATGATAATACATAGAGCTCTTAAAAGCATGCCTGGCACATAATAAGCATCAAACAGGTTAACCATTAACTCTTCTTTTTCTTTCTCTATATACTATTTACTACCTCCTTCCTTCCCCTTTCTCTCTCTATGCCTCCTCCTTTATTATTATTAGGGATGAAAAGATAAGTTACCTATGAAAGAAACAAGGAAAAGTTTAAAAATCAATAAATTAATAAAGGGTAACTTTCCCAAAGTTAGAGTTAATACAAGATTAAGAACTACCAAGTGAGAATCAGAGTGAGAATCAGGTTGCCCTGTCATTTTTTCCCAGTGTTTTGGGGAACCCAGATTCACATTCCTACTTTGATTTAGGTTACTATAGTTAAGGGTTACAAATCAATCTGGAAAAATTGTAACAAAATTGCTTTTTTACATGCTAACTAGTCCTCACAACATACCTGTTAGAGACATTCTGGTCCAGCAGCAACATGGATTTTTGCTTTTGAAGTTTTCCATAGTGTATTTAAACTTTTATGAAATTGGAGATGATAAGTGAATTGAGGAAATTTGAAGATCTGTGTAACCGTCTGTAGAGAAGCTAGAAATGCAAGAACAGCTGCATTATAGTTAGATTCCAAACTGGCCACCAAGGAAACTGAGTTTCATCTAAATATGATTTATAGAGAAGCGGAAATAACTGGATAGACTTAAAGTTGATAGGTACTCCTTGTTCTTCATACTGAAATGGCTGCCTCCAAAGCAGGGAGACCTTGACGCTTGTATGTGTCAGTCTCAATTTGATTGATTTCATTCTCTGTTTAGTGGATGTATTTTTAAACTTATTGTGAAATATAAAACATATAGGAAGGTGCTCAAAACCAATTCAACTCTGATTTATCACAAAATGAACACCTCATTGTAATCACTTACTACATTTTCCTACATATTCCCACTTAAATATGCTCAGTGTGTGTATTCTTCATGGTACTCAACGATCTATATTCTTTGTTTTCCTTTACTGCTAATTGAAACTAAACACCAAGTATGATTCTGTCATGTTTACTGAAGTCCTTTATAAGAGATGCTACACTGTTTCTTAGAATTCTCAAAGTGATCTTTTTTAACATTCTTCTTTAAGTTACATGGGCACCTGCCATGTTCTTAAAAACAGCTGCCCCAAATTATGAACTTCAGCCTGATTTTTTGGGAGCATATTGATAGTCCTTTCCTATAGTAATACTGTAAAGACATATTTTACAAAAAATGTATTTCCAACACACTGTTTTCTCCTATTTCCTTATTTGTCAGTTTCCCCTTCCTTCCTAATATACCCTTGCTTTGATGCTCTACCACCATCCATCTCTCACGTGTAGCTCTCCACTGCCTTCTTGTTTTCATTCCCATTCCCTAATAATTCCAGGTGATGTTTACAATTCAGTTTTTTTATTTTTATGACCTCAGGACTTATTTCTTACATAGGATGAACTTGAATTAATTTGTGCCCTGGATGTTGAATTTATGGCCAACCTGATGTATTTAGAATTCACTTTATTATCATTCCTTCCACTTTGCCTTTGACCTGTTCCTCTTAACTAGCTTACATATCAGTTCAAGGGGCATTGAAACCACTGAATGGCCATTGGAGGAAATGAGCTTTTATGTGGGTGCTTAGGGACAGTAAGTAGAATTAGCTGTGATTTCTCACATATGAACTTACTGTGTCCCTCTAAATCCCCTCATTTTGTTGATACTATTGAATTCATTTTGTGAATCCTGTGGACAAGCAATTGATTACACTTTCAACCATTACCCACCTTTTGCCAGAATTTGGTAATTTCTGCCAAAATTAGTGTTATAGTGAAGAACCTTTTGGTTATGAGGAACATAAAATTATGTAAGTTACCTCATGTAAAAAGGACTCTGTTGCAAAGAAAGTTGTTTTGCAATCCTAGGAGAGGAAAGGGAGCTAGACATGGCTCTACCCAGATTAGCCCTGCTGATTGGAGAGCTGTTAGAAATCTAGGTGACTTCCAGAAACCAAGGAAACTACTGTTCTCCCATCCAGCCATCTTCCGCACATGGTCTGATCTCCCTCGTTTCCTCTACCTTTCTCTGTGCTTAGATTCAGTCGTTTCTTTGGGAACTGGCTTCCTCTGCATTCTTGCAACTTGTAACTGGTCCCCCAAAATATCTTCTACAACATCTAAGCCTACATGACTTTCTAGCTCACACATCTGCAAGTCCCAGGATAAGAATCTTAGTTGTCTTAATGCTTGTTTTTCCCCTGTTCAGTCCAAACAATTTGTTGATCACCAGGAGGTTAGTGTTATACCCAAGGTATCTGCCACTGTTACAGGACAGATGTTACAGAGGATGTTGAGCTACATGGATCTTTTCCTCTTATGTCTGGCATTAAGTGTGAAGATGTCCAAATATTTTACTGATTTTACTACATGAACTGCCAGCATATTTTGATTTATAACAAGATCATACTCTATATTAGTACAAACTAATGTAAAACTACATTTGGGGAGCTACACTTGAAACATACTGTCATTTGTAACAACTGAGTCTTTGAGAAAACTGAATCATAAACACACAATATTTGTATACAATTGAGAATACCTTGGACTTCCAACTTACCGAATGGAAGGATCAAAATACTATAAGCATACGAACAGTATTAGCAGGATAGAGGGACTTTGTGAGCTCAAGAAGTAAGGTACTTTCATCTTGTGAGGTGGTCCCTTGTGGGAGATGGCTGAGAGTTAGATCACCCTGAAACTGAATGATCAGTAAACAGCATTGCCCTGGAGTAAGTAACTGGTCCTAGGCAGACAGGGGGCCAGATGTTACTGGAATGGCCATTCAGAACATTTAGTTAGTTGGGATAGAACTACAGGTGTCTCTTACTAGAAAATTGATAACTACTGAGGAGTGATATGTAAATCACTTAAAGTTGTCAAACAGGTGATTATTTTGAAACCTTCTTGTTCTGTCCCGGTCACAAATATGTGGGAGAAAGACAGCTGCTGGAGTGCTTCACTGGCCTTGCGCGCGCTTATGTGTGTGTGTGTGTGTATGTGTGTGTGTGTGTGTTTGTGTGTGTGGTGTACTTGTATGTGTGTGCTTGAGTTTTTGAGGGGAGGTGATGAACATTGGATTAGGAGTTCTGAAGACCCAAGTCCCACTCTTGATTTCACTGGACCTCGGGACATCACTTAACTTCTGAGCCTTGCTGCTAGAGGCCTCACAGATACAGGTGAAAGCATTTTACAGTTGTCAAAGTGCTATAAAAATGCAAGGTTGAACTATTAATTACTAGGGTTAAATTGGCTCATGAATAAAAGTAAATTATGTTGGAATAACTCCAATCCCCTCCATCTCAAAAACATAGGTAATTCTTCATGGTACTAAAGAATAAACTCCTAGAAAGCTAAGTTTTGTCTGCTTATTATAATGTCTAATCACCACTGTACTATACTAATTTCATTTCTATTTCTTTTTAATGCTGCCTGTTAGTATACGCTCCATTCAGCATTCAATTAGCATGCCTGCTATGAGGTAAAGTATACTTTTACAGAATGTAGTTGATCTTATTCTTTAAATGCTTAACTTGAACTGTTCTAACATAGGGAACTAGAATTCTACTCTAAACAAGCTGCAAGGTTGTCACTATGTCAGTTTTCACTTGCTCTTGTAATGTTAGGATGGGTGCAATAGAGCCATTAAATGTGATTTTTTTTTTAAGGAAAGTAATTCTATTTCATTTTGCAAACTAGTTAAATAGTTACATATCTGAAATCTGCTTAACTGAAAAAGTGAGCGCTGCTCCTCTAATAAACCTCTTTTCAGACATTTAGGGGTCCCACCATTTCTGTCTGCATCTCACCATCTCTATCTTTAGTTACACCCGCCTTTTCTTCCCATCTCCCCATTTCCATTTCCCTCATCCCATAGTGACATTTGGAGCCAACCATGATTTAACTCTACTGTCTTCTTTTTCATCAGTAAGCCCTTGGAAGTGGTACATGTATTACCTCACCTAACCTTGCTAGAGAGGCAGAGGATTTTTAACAATATATGTGGCTGAAACTTATGTGTTCAACAGAACTACCTGATGGGCTTGTTAAAAGCCTTCTCCTTATTGGGCCCACTGCTAGTTTCTAATTCTGTAGACCTGGCAGGGAACCTGAGAATTTGCATTGCTAACAGCTTCCCAAGAGCTATGAATGCATCTGGTCTGGGGACCACACTTTGGGACTGAGTGCCACCATGTAAAGGAGCAAACCTCTTGTTCCCTTCACCTTTTTCATCTTTGTAGTAGGAAGGACATTCGAGGTCAGGTGGATGGTATGAAAGCTTAGGAAACCCAGGTGTGAGGGCACGCCCTGATCATCCCTTGTTCGGCCTGGATGAATGTGAAGGCACGGGAGAGGCTGGCTGTGGGCTCGGCTGAGAGCTTCTGTCAGTTGGGGCAGCTTTGGGAAGTAGGCACAGCTGGCTTCCCTGCTCCTTGTTGCCTTTTGGTCTCTCCCTGCCCTGTCTGTTATGCTGCTTCCCGGAAGTTAGTCTTATACCAAAGGTATCTGCCACTGGAATTAGGATCTCTGTTGTGCAACCTCATACGGTCTGCTTGCCCTGCTTGATGATGTGGTTCAAGGGGAAATCTCACCAGGCAACATGTGAATTTAAACATGAATTCTAGAATAGAGCACCTTAACCCACGTTAAACTGACCTGACAGTGACATGTTCTTGTATGTAACTCGTTGGAGAAGTGACAGAATTGATGTGTTACCTGACTTTGTTCCTCTTCTCACACACACCTGACTGTCTCTGTATCATATGTCTGAGACAGGCTCAGTTCATGAAGTCAGAAGCATCATTGTAGAAATTTTAGGACAGAAGTTGATAATCTTACATCAAAAATACATATTTGTGTGTTTGCCTACATATATAAGGTACAGATAAATATATCTGTTCTTGTGCTGATTATGAACAAGGCTGAAAAGGAATGCAATCAACTAATGATGTTTTCAAAATTGGTGTTCCTTTTTTCAGAGTTTGCAGTTTTACTATTTGTTTTTCTTGTTTCTCCATAGAAACTCCCCAACTTTCAAATCATTTGAAGAGAAGGTTGAAAACTTAAAGGCAAGTAGAAAGCTGGATAGTCTTTGTGGTAGCTTGATTGCTACCTCAGTTTTCTTTGCTATGGGTAAATCATTCACATTACTGTTTTCTTTGTAAAAATAAAGAACTTTAATAACTGCATTCTTTATATTATTAATGAATATTTAAGGTGATGTATTCTTATAGTGTTTTTTTTGGGGGGGGTGTCTCTTATATGGCAGCATGCTAGGGCTGAAAGGAAGTATATAATTTATAAAGCAATAGTACTTGAGAAATTTGTACTGCTTTTTGCTTTATTCACATCAAAAACTTTTATATTGGACAAAATTTAACATACATTTTATTGTAGAAGATTAACAACAATACAGAAAAGCATAAAAAAATGAAACACAAAAAATTGGTCCTACCAGCCAGAGACAGCGATGTATGTCTGTAGTAGGACTGTGCTCTTTATGCTTTAAAAAAGAATCAACCATATAACATAAATATTTTCCTATATCACTCTTATTTTTCCTCAGTATTATGTCTGCTTGAATGTGCCTTAGGACAGATAGTGTTTGTTCAGTCTTCAATTATTGAACATGATGATGCCATGGTCATCATTGATGATGCACTGTTTCATTTTTTGATTGCTTTGATTCCAGGGAGGTGGCCATTTTTCCATAATAATTAACTTAATTTCTCAATTGTATTATCTCCTAAATTGTATTCAAAACTATAAAATCATCAACTCTTAGGATCACAAGTGACCAGAAAGGTTGTCTGGTTCCCATTCATTTCCCAGGCTTCTCTACAGAGTTTGTGCAAAGCCAATCTGTTCATTTCTTCTAAACTAATTCTGATAATCATTTGTAGATATTTTTTATGGATTAAAACTAATATCTTAAATGTTTTACATAAATCAGCTTAAAAACAAATACTCAGATTTAGTCTTTCAGAATTTAAGTGAGTCACTTATTTTTAAATGCATCTTTTTAAAATTACAGAAGCAGGGTATGCTTATGGAAAGAAAACTAAATGCTGTACCATGACCTGGATCTTTTTCTTGCACATAAAAACATTAATATACCCCTTTGTTGTTTCTCCATAAATGTATGTTTTTCAAAAAGGAATCACACTGTACACACAGTCCTACAATTTATTCATTCACGTCCCAGTAGGTTGTGTGTTCTGTGAACCCACAAACCCAGGGACCTGTTCTTTTTGCTCACTGATGCTTCTCAAGGGCCTAGAATATAGTCCTCAGCTTATTGCAGCTACTTAGTTCATATTTGATGAGCAAAAATTATAGTCACTCTTCTAGGTCAGTACAAGAGACCTGCTTTATTTTTTTAATGCCTAGTCATATATATTTGAATACAAACTGTACATTGCAGGGAGTCAAGGCTTATTATAATTCAATTCTCAGTATGTTAGGACTGTTCAAACCTCTCCTTCAAATCTGCTATAAGCACCAGTTCTGAAATGATTAGGTTGTTCAACCAACTTATATCCAACCAAACAACCTTCCTGGTCATTTATTATATACTCTCCTCCTGAGAATGGTTAGACTTCATAAATGTGGTGAAATCCATTTTTGAAATATAACTAGGAACCATTCAGATAAAAACACATAATTAAAAATATTCAACAGATATCCCCAAAGAAGCTGTAAAATATAGTTGTATACTTGGGATATAATTGTGCTAAATTAAATTTATATTCAGTTAAACATTGGGTCTGTATGTACTTACATTTAGATTTTGGATTGATTCATTTATCTGTGATTATTGACCACCTTGCGCCCAGCAATGAGTATTGGGCACTGGAGATAGTATGGTGAGCAATAGAGACACAAACCCTTTCTGCAAGATGTTTAGACACTTATATGGCCAATGAAAGTAAAGTGAGGTAAGGTGCTCTGACACAGAGAGTCAAGAATGCAAGAAGGATGAGTAACAGGAACCTCTGACCTAGCTTAGCTGGAGGGAAGATGAGGGAGGGCTTCTCAGGACTTGCTAATATAAATGGAGGCTTTTACGTGGAGGGCAATGTTTGAAGCTTTGGAGCCCTTTTGAGGAACACCAGGAGCTTTGCTGTGATGTCAAGCATTGAGTAGGACATGAAGCTCAAGAGTTGGGCAGGCCCTGTTAATTAATTCAGGCTCAGGGTTCCAGAAAGCCTTGAAGGATTTTAACCAATGTGAGGCATCACTGGTGCTGTGCAGGTCTGAGGGAGAAAGGCTGGAGACAGGGAGACTCGTTAGAAGGAAGGGGTTGTGGTCCAGGCCAAAGATGACGGTGGAGTGAGTTAAGGTAGGGCCAGTGAGACCAAGTTGAGAGATATTTAGGATTTAGAAATGACAGACAAAAAGTTAATGATATGGAAGAGGGTGGGAAGGATCACAGGTGCCTGGATGTCTGGCTCAGGCACTTAGGCAGGCGGTGCTGACGTTGAAAGCCTTGGAGAGACGGGACCAGTTGTGAGGAATTCAGTTCTAGACATGCTGAATTGTAAGGGGTCTTACCATTTTCTTAGAATTAAGGAATGTATTTTTGAATTTCATAAATATACAGTGGATGTACTTCAGATTTTTCAAATAATTCAAATATTTTGAATGGGAGACCAAAAAGAATGAGAGAACATTTTCCACTTGTTCATGAGTCTCTGGCCAATTAGACTGAGCTGAGTGTGAGGTCAAGTGTAACCCTCTGTGGGAGTGGCATTCTTGGTCATTGACTGGTTTCTTAATGTTGGTTAGCTGTCCTAGTGACCAGTATTAAGATGTGACAGAGAGAGGGGCGTAGATAGATCGGTATTGAGGATGAAGTGACATGTGTTGTAAAGGTTTTGAAGAGCATAAAATATTATATAAGTGTAAGGAAGATAGATTCATTCAGATAAAACATGTTTATTGACATAATTTCAGGCCAGAGAAGTTGGAGTAGTGCTTCACAACTGTAATATGTATAGGAAGCATTTGGAGACTTACTAAAGATATATCTCAATTCTGTGGCTGGAGATGGAAGGCCAGCCTCAGATTCTGCATTTATGGGAAGATCACAGGAAATGAGTCTGTGGGTCTTCGTACCACGCTCAAGCAGCAACAGGCTAGAAAGCTTGCACCAGAACTGGGAAAAACACACATATTTGTTCTCTTTGTTGCACTCAGTAATATATTTTGAATGAGTTAAGCTGAATGAACAGTTGGATGAAATACAAAGTATTTTTAAAATATGAAGAGAATTCAATAGATAGTTCAAAATAACTTCAAAGTTTTTCAGACAGATATCCCTGTGAAGAATAATGGGCAGATAAGGAAGAAGAGAGGAGGGGTGGAATTTACCAAATCTCAATATTTCAGCAGGGAAGACTGTGTAAGTTTTTCCATTAAATCATACTGAACATTTCTAAATACCATACATATATAATAATCACTGAGCTGTTAGGCTCCTGATTAATTTGTTCTTCAAAGCAAAATATGAGTCACTTTATGCACAGTCAGCTAAATTTATGTTTCATGTTGTCTTTTCTTTTTTGAACTTTATTTTTAAAGTCTAAAGTAGGGGGAACCAAGCCTGCTGGTGGTGATTTTGGAGAAGTTTTGAATTCAACTGCAAATGCTAGTGCCACCACCACGGAGCCTCTTCCAGAACAGACACAAGAGACCCCGTGAGATTCCTACCTTTGTTCTGCTACCCACTGCCAGATGCTGCAAACGAGATCCAAGCACATCTTGTCAACATTCATTACCATGAATTTCCACCAGATGTGCTTTTATTTAGCTTTACATGTTCCTTTGACCAAATAGTTTGTGGGTTGTACAAAATAAAAATATCTGCACCTCTACTCCTGGGAAACATCCTTTAATGTGCATTTAAGGCTCTTTATTTAGGAAACACTATTATAAAAACACATGTAGTACCCGGGGACCCTCATTGGAATGATTTGAGAAGCTGCAGGTTATAATTTCTTTCCTACTTTACCAAACTGTTCTGGATGTGGGATGCCAGTTTGATCTTTGTCTTCTATATGGTTTTCTTTTTTTCCTCTTTGAATCTCTGTATATTTAATTCCTAAGGAAAATTCGTCTTAAATTTTCTGAATCTTAGCTATTAAAAGTTTGGAATAATTTTCTTTGTTTCCAAGGGAAGAACTACCAGCTACAAAAATGTTTTTTACTAAACATTTTTTTGGCATAAGGTATCTTATATTTTGGGTGTCTGAAGCAACCAGACTAAGTAAATCACCTCTACAAACAATTTGTTACAGTTTTATAAGTGACAGTACATATAGTAACTCAAACTCTTAGGTGACTTGAGAATGGAGTTCTCATATCCTTGTTTATTAATATATATGACAGTAACCGTTTCAGTGTATTGGTTATGATGTCACTTACATCAAGTTACTTTTCACCAAATTCAGTTTTTAGTTTCAGAGTAAATTGCAAAATAATTTTCTGATTCAAGCATATTTTATTATGTGTAGGTTGAAATATAAGCACTCTCATCAAATGCTGAGTTCAAAAGCTTGAAAGTTTTTTTGGTTTAGGTAGCTATAAAAATGCTGGGGATACATTGCTGTCTTCATTTAATTCATTTAGTACCATTTAAAATAAGCACACAAAGTTATATGACTAATGTAACTTGAAAGGTTTTATACCAAGGGGTTGGTGATACCTGCTGAAGATTATATGCATTAATAAAAGTCAACTTTTGGTTTACTACTTACTTGTTTTCAGTGTGTTAGAAATTATAAAATGACAATGTAGACATTGCCCCTACCTTGAAAACAGTGTCCAGGCTGAATGAACCAAAGCCTCTGGAAGCGTCTGAATGGAGGTCGAGGTACTCTATTAATTCTAATACTACTTACTCATCACCACTACCTTTTCCTTATGCTGTGTGTGGTTATGGCTTACAATGTTGTGTTTGTTATTTATCAAGTTGTGATTTGTTCTATTATTGTCTATGCCAAATGTTAATTGCCAAGCGTGGAGTGACCTAAAGCATTGTTTAAAAGCATGATTTAGCTTTACTTTGGGATAATATATCTTATGAAAACCAAATCTGAAAAATCACAAGTTTTGATTGTTGTAAAATAACATGTCGCCACTCTAGATTGCTAGAGCTTTGTCAGCACTTCAGATGCAACTGAAACTATGTTCTATTACATGTGAAAAGCTTAATAAATTCTGTATATCAGTAGTATAGGTCTCAATATTTATTATGAGACCAGTGGTCTGAAAAGCTTGTTATATTAAATAGTCAACTGGGGTCTATACTAAAAAGAAAAAAATGGCAGTTTTTTACTATCTACTTTAAATCACTGCTAATGGTGTCAGACTAACATATAAATTATCTTCTCGAAAAGGCTTTAAAATGCAAGGGTTGTTGAAGCATTGTTTCCAAGAAGTGGATCTGTAAAAATATGTCTTCTTATGGAAATACTGTGGTTATTCAACATAACTGTTAAAAGAACTAGTCTTTCACATTTTTCTATCACATCTTTTTATCACACTGTTTCTTGGATCCTGCCCTGTTACTTACTATCTTTTCAACAAGGCAAAATGGAGTAAGTTGGCAATTTCTTTAGTTGAATGAAATATCCTCAAATCTCTTTATTTTATGGGAAAAAATGATAGAAATAGGGGTGGAAACTGGGATGGAAATATGAGGGTTTTGGCAATGGTTGAGGAGGAGAAATTGGATAATCACTTTTCCAAACATGTACCCACAGTTAATCTAAATGTGATTTAAATTGATTGCAAATATTCTGCTTCTTAAGTAGTAAAAAGTAGAGGGAGGCTGAATTTAGAAAAATTAACATAAAGACTTAGACATATTATTCAAAATGGTCTTTGTGGAAGTTTCAACTTTATGAATTATGAATTCACGGATATTTAAGAAATTTGAAACACAGTCATTACTGAGAACAACAGAGAGAGGTCCTGGTCACTGTGTTGTTTTGTGTTTGGCACTGTAAGAAAACAGCAACATGAGAGTGAAATCTCAGATGATGAAAGATTAAAGTAGTGTGATAGAAGAAAATAATCCCTGAAACTATCCCCTTTTTACAAAGGTATGCCCTTAATTTGCGGACTTTGTGGGAAATGGAGTAAATTATGTTTATGAGGCCAATTAATCAATGGAAGAGAGTAGAACTCCTTGGATTTCATTTTAGTAACTCAGAGAAACTATTGAAATAGAGAAAAAACACATTTAATTTGAAATCACTATTTCTGGATCTGTTAATCAAGAAATGGACACTGTACTTTTTTTGTATAGTACTTGAAAACAATAAAAGTTCTATAATTTGGGTATGGGTTCTTTTGAATGTATTACCTGTCTGTTGAGGAAAGGGGTGAGTCCATTATACAACTTTTCTCCAGACCCTAGTATCCTGGATATGGAAAACACCATAAGCAGCTATACAGAATCAGTGTATCAAACAAAACTGAAACCTACAAGCTAACCACCAAAAGACATTTTATAAGTGACTGTTGTATATGTGTCAGAGGAAATGCTGCCTAAGGTCCTGTGTCAGGATCACATGTGTTTCTTTATTGCTCTTAAGACCCAGATGAAAACAATCAGATTTTTGTGCATAGTGAAGAGACGTTTGGCTGTTAATGACTGTCCGATCAGAGACTATATTGGGTTGTAGTTAACATTAATTAGAGACCATGTTGGGTTACAATTAATATAAAGCATTACCACTTTTAAATAGACCTGCAAACCTCAGATTTCACAATTCCCATATTCCGATTTTGAAATCAAAATGAGCCAAAAGAACTCACTCTTAGTTTGTAAGCCCCCAGAGGGTATGGTCTGCATATACCTGTCATCTGCTAGGATTTCATACTTAAATAAATGCTATTTGGTGACTAAAATTCTTAACTCTCATTAAGTAATTTTGATATTACTTAGATTGGCTGGTAGTGTGATTATTTTAACTTGCTGGTTTTCCTAGCACACAGTAAAAGCCAAACACAAACTTGTTTCAATATTTTTTAGTTAGTGTGATCTTTTTCTTCAACATTCTGTGCTTTAACGTTTTCCCCTTGGTTTCTGGGATTAACTCTCTTCTTATTTTACAGTTTGACTGTTTTCTAGTGTTCTCTTCTTCCAGCTCCTTAAATGTTATTACCTATCTCTAGTCATCATCTACATGATCTCCTTGAAATGATCTTACTCATCTCTTTGGCTGAAAATGGCTAGCTAAAGTAATACTAGTATCTTCCCAATGTATCGCTAGCTTTACTCTTCCAGGTTTTCATGCATGCTTAAGAGGCATAAATTTCTTTCTGGCCACTAATAGCCAGTTTATTGAGCTTTCAGTAAGTGTTGGGTATTTTACACTCGTTTCCTTTAGTTCTTCACGCAAGGATGTGGCAGTGTTACTGTTTTACAGATGAGGTAATAGTAGACATGGAGGTGGAACTTGAACTATTTTCTACTTTCCTTGTCATCCACCATTACTAATATTTTTACAAAGTGTACTAAGTTTGCAGATACAGGGGGAAAAAAGAGACCTGCATTTTTAATAAAGCAAGGAAGGTGTTTCAAAGAGTAGAGCAGGACCAGAACCCCTAATGTGCCATGAAGATGTTAAAACACTGCCATTAAAGCCAATGTTACAGCAGGTGTAAGCAAGGATGAAGTGTACAGACATTATCTCGTTGTTGATTTGCCCAGTCCTTTACAGTCCCTCTCATTTGATGCTTCTGATGCTTTACCAAAGGTAGGAGAACTTCACGTAACTTGAAGTCCATTGATACAAACTTCCTCTCATACATTAAAATTTCAGGATTTGTCTCAAAATGTCATGATCCTCAAGAAAATTATCATCTGATGGAGGTCGGACATGAATATAATACATTACTGAATTTAGATGGGGGGACCTTAGGAATCCCATTTGTTTTGTTGATACTGATTTAGTTAAGTTTACAAAGTACTTCTTTTAACTTAGCACAGGGACTGACAGCTTGGTTTGACAAGTGAGGAAACCAACAACATTAAATTGGCTTGCCTGAAATCAGGATTAGAGTCAGGGCTAGAATTAAGGGTTAAGGTCAATGGCCTATGTTCTTTACAGTTTACCAGTTTGTCCCAAGGGAAGTATAAGTAGCAACAGCCATAGAGAATAATGCACAAGTGTATTAGGCAATATTTCAATAATGGTCAAGGGAAACCATTTTAAGTGCCAACAGGAAGAACCACCTAGGGTAGATTTTACTTTTCCTAAGCCCCCCTCCCCCACTGAATTTGTAAGGATTACCCTACAGTTGGCTAGCGGTAATAAATTATTTGTGATGATTCATACAATTATGCACCATTCCAAGGTTAGTGTAGTGTTGTATATACTAATTATGCAACTGATGAGCACATCAGATTTAAAATCCACAGTAACGGCATTAAAATAGTTGTCATACATCAAAGTTCCTTCTGTCAACGCACTTGCAAATGAACTGGAAAGGTGCTCACCTCCTGCCCCCAAAATTTGTAATTGCGGCTTAATACCAAACACCTGGGTAGAAGACGGTTAAATTTGTAAACACATCTTGAGTTTACAGGTAAACAAGTGTATAGTGTTAGACTCCGTTTTGAAGAGGGTAGGCAAATTCTGGGAATTAACGTTGGGGAAGAATGCGAGAAAACTGAAGGTGGGGACTTACGGTGGTACAAATTTAGGTGCATTTGGAAATTTACTCATTCCCTAGAAGAGGGCCTGAGGCTATCTAGAGGACCGGAAGATGAATGTTTTTGTAACGTGGGTGGACAGCAAAAGAGGCAAAGAAATTTGGATTCAGGATTTCACAAATGCCTACTGTGTGCCTGGTGTCAGGATTAAACAGCAAAGTTCCTGCCTTCGTGGAGTTCACGAAGTTGGGAGAGCAGACGCTAAATAAAATTATTATAAATCAATTATATGGCATATTAAGAAGTGCTAGATGGTATGAAGAAAACTAGGGAACTAGGGAAGCCCGACAGTGTGTGTCTAGGGTTCCAAAGGTAATCACGGAGAACCTCGTATTTGAACAAAGACCTAAAAAGCGGAAGGGAAACAAGACTTGGGGCGTCCCAAGGGAGATGCCCAGGCGGCGGGGCCGGCGGCTATCGCGTTACTAGAGTTTACAGCAGGACGAGGCCCAAGAGATGCCCAAGCGATCGAAATTGTGACTCAAAAATGCTTTCCATGTAAAACATAGATCGCTGCTCGCAGAGGACTTCTGGTTACCAAGGATTTTAGTCCATTGATTTTTAGCTTGTCTCTTCCACCCCACGCTTCTCCGGGCTCCGGATTAGATGGGAGTAAACTCAGGTAACCAGGGCTCAGCGGCACGTGGGCGGGCCTCTCGTTGCCCCGCCCCGTGACCTGCGTCATTGCGGAGAAGGCAAAGGTCAGAGGTGTGGAGCTGTCATGGCGGCGCTGTGTCGGGCTCGTGCCGTGACTGCCGAGGGCCTTTTCCTGCGAGTGTTTCTCTTCTCCCGACCTTGTCGAAGCACAGGTACTGAGACTAGCTCCGGGAGCGGGAGTTCTGATTCCACGATCCCCAGAAAGAGCCCAGGCTGCTTCGCGACCGCTTTGGAGAGGCACTCGGAGCTGGAGCAGGAGCTTGGACGATTAAGAGTGAGTCTGGGGAGCTACGCCCGCGACGCGGCGGGTAGGGCCGGGGGTTGCCGGATATGGTGGGTGGAGCCTGGGGTCGAAACCGAGCCCGTCACAGGGGTAGAGTCTGGATCCGGGGCGGAGCCTGGCGTGAGGCGGTGGAGCTGGGACCGCGCTGGAGCCTTGCGTATGGGGTGGGCCAGGCGTCGGGGCGCAACCCGCTGTAGGGGGCGGGGCCGAGGGACGGCGACCTGGCCCGCCGGGGTGGGTGGAGGGGAGAGCTCGGGGTATGTCCTTTTCCGGCTGCTGGCGGCTTGGAACAGATCGCGTGGTTGGTGTTTTCCTCCGTTTGTTTTGCTTTTGTACGGTATTTACATGCTGGACTTGCGTGGTCCACACTCCGCTCTTGTACCCCTGGAGGCGAGTGCTGGAAGGGAAACCAATGGGGAGCGCTGCCAGTGAGGTGGACTAGGGCGCCTCGTGGGACTTGGAGGCCAAATGGACTCACTCATGGAGAGTGAGGGTTCTGCTATCCAGCTCCACACAGTAGCTCCAGCGTGGAGCTTGGTGTCTGGCGTACAAGGCTCTTTATAATTGTTTATTCAGTGGGCAGGTGAATGAGAGAATTACTGTTTCTGTGAACTTGAGCAAGTGATTTGTAATAATCTGTCAGTGCTTCCTTTTCCTTTTCTGTAAATGACTTTTTTTTAAATATAAGATTTTTTGTTTGAGGCAATACTTTTGTAAAATGTGATGCAATTACTAGATAAATGAAATGTTTAAGTCTGGGGAGAGGAAATCCCGGGAAAAATACCTCTAAAATCGAAATCAGTCAAAGGGATAAATAAAGTTTAAAACCCATTTATTGCTTAAAAACTGCAGTCCAGGGCCCTTCCTCTCTCCTGCACCAGCAGAAGCCAGCCAGCCCTCTCCTTAACCTCTCAGGTTCAGATAAGCCCTCCGTTGCCCAGGTGGTTTACCCGTTGATATGGAGATGCTCTCCACCCCTGAGTCACCTATTGATATGCTGATGAACAAAAGACCCACTTCTCTCTACTCCGTGAGAATGCACTAAAGCCAAGCGAGATGTTCTGGAAATATCACAATTTTACCCATAAAATGGAATAGACAAATACAAGTTTTATTATTATTAGATCTAACAGACATGAAATTGGATGCTTGGCAATATTAAATTATAAAAACTCAATTTCTGTGCTTCTCTCCTTGTGGACCAGTGCCAAACAGTTCACAGACTGGTACTGCCCTCGAATTTAGTAAGTAATCGTTAATAATTATCGTTGACATTTCTAAGATCCAAGGATTAGTTTCAGAAGCCTGGTGTATTGTTTTCTATTTGCTGGCGTAACAAATTACCATAAACTTAGTGGCTGAAAACAGCAAAAATTTATTAATTTTAGTGCTGTAGGTAAAAAGTCTGATAGCTGTCTCAGTGGGCTAAAATTAAGGTGTTAGCAGGATTACTCTCGTCTAGATTCTAGGTGGAGTCTGTTTCTTTGCCTTTTCCGGCTTGTAGAGGATGCTTACATTCCTTGGCTCACTAGATCCCTTCTACCATTTGCAAAGCCAGCACCGGAGGTTGAATTTTTTCCATATCGCATCATTCTGACCTCTTTTCTGCTTCTCTCTTCCACTTTGAAGATCCCTTGTGATTATTTTGAGCCCACACAGATAATCCACGATAATCTCCGAATTTTAGGGTCAGCTGTTTAGCAACCTTAATTCCGTCTGCAATTTGATTACCATTTGCTATGGAAGGTAACATTTGCAAGTTCCAGGGATGTGGACGTCTTTTTTTTGGCCATGGTGGGTGGGGAGGGGCAGCAGTGGGAGCATTATTTTGTCTACCATATACCTGGAGAAGTCATAAAATCTTAACAGAATGCCAGTGACTAATTAGAAACCATATAATGGATGATTTTAGATCCATCCTTAATGGGAGGCTTTTGATTAAGTGCAGTAAGATAGGAAACAGTTATAATTCATTTCCTTCCCCCAAAATATTTATATAGATTTTATATAGGAGGAATTTCTCTATTTCTCATTTTGCAACGTTTTTCACTTATATCCCCAACCTGGCTGTATCACCACATTCCAGGAACCTTCACAAACTTCTAGAAAATAATTCTCAACAGCGGAGTTAATTGTGGCACGAATGAAAATTACAGTTAATTGTGGCAAGAATGAAAATTACAGCATCACATGTGTGGGGAAGTTGGGGTTCCTATGGCCAGGATCCTCACTGAATTTAAATCACCTGATGATGTAACTGGCCTGTTGCTGGGCTACCGCTTCCACACCTTTAGGCAATGAGCTATTATTGTGCTATATAAAGGGCTTGGCCCATTGCTCTGGGTGGAGGCAGAGACGCTAGTGCTTGACCTACCGCCGGAGAACAAGCCGGGTAATAAACCCTTTCACCCCAAAGAGTGTTTTGCGGTCAATTTCTTTGGTCACACTGAATCCAAAGCGAACTTGCCTGGGCTGAAACCCATTGGCAAGACCATGTGTAAACTAAGTGTTTGAAATTCAGAATGGCTCTCAAACTTGGGAGTTTCAGTGGTAGGCAGTAATTTTTTTTTTTTTAATGAAAGAAACAACAAAGGTATTTGAGAGTGATCAAGATTCCACTCCCTTCCCTCCTCTTCCGTTTTTGCAGGAGTAGACTGGACTGTTTCCTGGTGGTCCCAGCACATCTATTAGATTTGCTCAGTGCAGCTTGAATGGAGCTGAATGGAGGCTATCTGGGTAGTTGTTCTCTATATAATGCAGTGTAGAGTACATCATTCTACTAGATAAATGGAGTTTAAATCTCTTTGGTTGTGACATATGGCTCACCTATTGTTAATATTCCTTGACTTCTTAGTTGTTTTTTTTTGGGGGGGGTGAAAGGGTTATATCCAACTTTATTTCCACGGTGGCAGGTCAGTCACTAAAATCGCGTTCACTCAGAACAAGTCTGCATGCAGCAAGCTGGTCTCTGCCTCTGGGCCCATCTGCACAACCATCCTCTGGGCCTCTCTGCACAGCTGCCTTGACTTCTTAGTTTAATGGAAGGAAGGAAATATCTTCGGGAGGAGTGAGGGTACCAGAAGGTTGGGTTATAGTCTCCATGCAAAGAGCATTTCCAATTTGTGGACACCTTTACTGATAGATACAACTGACTTAAGTTGTTCCCTGGTCTAAGTCATTATACATGCTATGGACAGAGTGCTCTTCCTAAAGTTGGGCTCTATAATCAGACTTAATGAGATGCTTTTTTCCCTTTACTTGAGAATCTTGTAAACCTTCATTCACACTGTCTTCAAGGTTAAATAAACATCTCTCTTGTCACTGGCCTGCTGCCATTCAGGACCCACTCCAGTGCAGAAGGTAAAGTTTAAGCTTGGTTTCATAGGTTGAATCAGCTATTTTACTAAGCTGAGTAATTTTGGACAAATTACTTAGCCTGAGTTTAGTCTTGAGTTTGCTTTCTTATCTCAAAGTGGAGATGATCCTTTAATTGGGGTTATTGAGAAGTCAAATGAAATAATACATTTGAAGTGGTCTCAGCACAGTGACTGTCACAGGCTAAGTTTTAACTCAATACATTTTAGTTTCTATGTGGTCCTAGCCATTTCTCCAGCCTCCTGCCTTCCAGAGAATAGTTTCACAAAGATGCTTTCAGGATTGTACAATTCTTTGAATTAAATCCCACTGCTTGCTTAAGTAATAATTATTAAGCTTTTATTTGAAAAACCACACACATGCCATCCTGTTTAATTCTGATTTAAGGACATTTGTAATCGTTAATGTGTTTTGTGGCTCCAGAAAAACCTGTGCATACTTCAGAATAAACCTTTACCTGCGAGACCTTGTTTTGTTCTGTTATGTCCCAGCACTTAGCATGGTGTTTGACTCTTAGTGGGCACTCTGTAAGTGTTCCTCAAATGGGTTAATGAATGAATGCATGTAATGCGTATTTGAACGTCAGTTGTGCCTGCGCTTTCTTTGAACTGACATCTGCATGTGACTGCTCACACACAGTTATACAACTGAGAATAGTACAAGCTGGAGCATATCAGTTAAATGTGTTTGTCCAAAATAATCAGTTGAGCAAAAACAATTTGAAGAGTAGCAGGAAAACTGAAAATACCACATTAGTTTTAGTTTTAGTATTCATTGGACATTTCAGTGCTTTTCTGACATATTTATGATAAGGAATTTGCGCAGTTGTTGGGTGTTGATAGAGATTCAACTTTTTGAAAAGACTGAGTTTTTGAAATTAATGGATGTATTTAATGAAGAGTATCCTGAGATTACAAGATGAATAAAAAGTACATCTTTATTGTGTGATTATAATCTGTGAAAAAATCATTTACAACATATTAAAGTAATATTTTCCTATTTTAAAAAGATAATTTAAATAGCACAGAGGTTATTATGGGAAATATATAAGTCCCCTTTACCTTTCCCCACTTTTTCCAGGTTGAAGAATGGTTTTTTTAAAAAATATACACCCCCAGAGTTTTTTGTATCGTCATATCTAGAAATACAAGCTAATCATTAATATATATATATATTTAAAAACATACAAATTGGTTGGTACTGTTTTGAACTATATTATTACTTACTGTTTAAGAATTTAAGCTCTGGATTAAGATAGCGTTGTTTTGAATCTTAATTCTTCTATAAACTACCTGTGTTTCCTTGGAAAATTACTTAATATCTATATACTTTTCCTTTTTTATAAAAGGAGACTCTGTCATGGGATTCTTATGAGATTAAATTTATTAAACAGCACAAGCACCAGATGTTTAATAAGCACTCAGTGTATTTTAATTGCTAGTGCTGAAAATTGCTATCTTCACTTAAGTGTAACTAAATATTTTTCCTTGTCATCATGTATGTGTGATGTATAATATATATAAACATACCTCATAGAAAAAGTACTTGCTTGGTATTCATGGCATGGATATAGCATAATTTCACTTACAACTTCATTAATGAGCTTTTAGGTTTTC